GGAGCCCAACAATGGCTCAAGCTGAGCTCCAGACAACCAACAAATGCTCCTCTGACAAGCCAAGCACTTATTTAACTGAAGCCAGGATTGTGGTGCAATGCCACGTACTGCATGGGGGAAGACAGTGAGTGGTGGTGGTGGGGATCTGTGGAGGTGGGGCAGTGAGCCTTTGGGTTAGCTATGTGAGGGGGTAGTGGTGAAGCCTTTAGAATGTGTTCCATCATTTGCTATTAAAAACAATTCAGCAGTCAATAATCTTGCATGAATGCCATCTGTGGGACAAAATTTTTGAAACAGGATTGCTGGATCACAGAGCAGACGTGGTCAGGATTTTGACTATGTTAGTATCACCAAATTGTCTCCCATATGGGTTCTAACATTTTGCATCACTACCAGCAACGTATGAGTGCCTGATTTTCTACACCTTTTTGGACTTTTGGAAATTTGAACTTTTGGGATTTCAAGCCAAATGGTCTGGCTCCAGAGTCCACTCTTCTAACCATTAGGTTACCCCACCTCTAAAGAATACTTATTGAGTGTTTACTATTGTTCTCAGTGCTAGGAATACATCTGAGAACAAGATAGATAAATTCTCAGACCTCAAGAACTTACCTCCTAGGCGAGACAGGGGAAATCAACAAATGGCCAAGCAGATATGTAAAGTCAGGTGGTGGCAAGTGTGTGAGGATATAGCAAGCAGAGGAAGACAGGAGAGCCGCTATTTTAGATGGGACTCTCTCTGCAGGGAAGCCTTCTTTGGAGAGGTCGCAGAGACCTGATAAGTATGAATGAGAACCATTTCAGTAAGTGGGGGAAAATACCAGGAGGAGAAAGTGACATGTGTAAAAACCCTGAGTTACTAGTCTCCCTGAAGTGCTGGAGAAACAGACATAGGTCTTGTGTGGCTGGAGGGGAGTGATGGATGGAAACTTGAGAGACAAGGTGGGAGAGGTGGCCTGAGGACTGACGGTGTTAGGGCCTGGAAGGACAAGGTACAGACTTGAATTTCTTTCTAAGTGGGACAGGGAGACAGCAGAGTATTTGGAGCAACAGACGGATAGATGATGACATCGGCTTAAAGGCCCACACTGGCTGTGTGTGGAGAACAGACCACAGTGCAGCGAGAGTGGAGCCTTGGAGGGAGTTGGGAGGATCCAGCAGAAGTGCAGCTTGAAGTGGAAGTGGTGGAGGCAGTGAGAAGGGGGTGAATTCATGAAATATTTGGAGAGGTGGCAGGATTTGCTGAGGGGTCAGATGCAGAGCCCGAGTGAAAGAGGAGTCAAGGATTTTGGCCTGAGCACTGTGCTGAAGGATGGTTTGGGGGTCAGCGATGACAGTGGGGCCTGAGATGCAATGGGACCTTCACGTGGGGCTATCAGGCAAAGATACATGTGGGTCTGGGGTTCAGGGGAAAGGTTTGTGCAGACAGGGACATGCTCCAGCGGGGCAAGGTCTGGGCACTGAGAAGCACTCAGAAGGTCAGAGTCAGGAAGAGGAGACTGAAAAAGAGTGGCCAGGGAGGCAGGAGGAGGAGGAGGATCAGGAGACTCTGGTGTCTAGGAAGCCAGGTAGAGGGTTTCTTGAGGAAAGGAGTGATGAAATGTACCAAATACCGATCAGGTGAAGACAGAGTGAACCACTGGGATTGGCCTGGTGGAACTCAAGGTGACCTCCCACCAGAATCTGTAGGTTTCAGCTTAGTGGTCCTTCCTCAGAGAGGCCTCCCTGCCCCTTCGTGCCCCCTCCTCTCCCAGCGCCCTGCACTTCCCTTCTCGGTAGCTGCCCTGATATCTGAGCACGACTTTTGGCGTTTCCTTGTTCCGCGTCTGTTCCCCGCGGTGGTGGAGGCTCCCTGTGGGCAGGAACAGGGACGTGGTGTTTACCCTGCGTTATGAGCACCCAGCACGTGCCTGGCCCCCGAGGGGGCCTCAGTGAACAGCCACTGAGTGAGTGCTGAGCAAGCACCTGGGAGCCAGGCCGCGGACGGAACCCAAGCAGTTTTCAGTTCTGCTCCCGTGGGGTCAGTTGATTCACTCGGGTTTTATTTGTGTATGTGGGGGAAGAAAGTCCCCCAGAGACCTCGCTGACCTTTGCAAAAATGGTGATGGATATGCCTGAATATTTTTCATGAGTTTTTATGACCAGAACAAATATGAGTTCGAGGAGGGTTAGCACTTAAAAATTAATTTATTTTTAGAGCTGTTTTAGATTCACAGGAAAATAGGGAAGACAGCACAGAGAATTCCCATACACTCCACATAGAATTTCCTCTGTTATCAACATCTCACCCTACTGACGCTTGTCACAATTAATAAGCTGATGTGTTACGAGGAAGAGTCTGCACTTTATTCAGTTTTCCTTCATTTTTACCTCATGTCCTTTTCTGTCCCAGGCTCTTGTCCAGGACGTCATCTTGCATTTAGCCATCATGTCTTCTTTGGCTCCTCTGGCTGTGACAGTTTCTCAGACGTCCCTTTTTCCATCGCAGTTTTGAGGCGCACAGGTCAGGCATTTCGTAGAACGTCCTTCAGTTGGGACTTGTCTGATGTTTCTTTGTAACTTGTCAAGGGTGTGGGGGTTTGGGAGGAGGACAACAGGCGAAAGTGTTGTTTTCAGCACATTGTGTCAAGGATACATGCTCCCAACATGAGCCACCACTGCTGCTGGTGGCTTCCAACACCTGGCTAAAGGGGGTGTTCCCCGGGGGCACCCACTAAGAAGTTACTCTTCCCCTTTTCCTGCACTGTCCTTGTTAAGAGCACTGGGGTCCCAGAAATCTGCCCACTAGACAAATCTTTTTAGTTGGGTCAGAAATTTCAAGAGGTTTCTGAATGAGGGAGATAGCCACCCATTGTTTTGAGGGGAGAGATCCTGTTAACAGGAAGGAGATGTCTTGGGGCCCTGATTTGACACCTGTTCCCAGACTTGGATTACAAATGAATAACGTGCCATCCTATTTTATAGATCACCCTTGACTTAATTTTGTCAGCATGAGTGTTATCACCAAGAGTCTGACATTTCTTGAATATTTTAAGAATCTAGAGTTTCATACTTGAATTACTGAGGATAACACAGTGGATTTTGGGATTGTCCTTCTGAGGCGTGGATGTTCTTGGGGTGAATTATCACCTGAAGGGAGCTGGGAAGATATAAGGCCACTGGGGAGCTCGCCTTTGTTTTCCCGCAGGCACTGTGCCATGTGCCTGGGGCTGCGGGTTCGCCGGAGGGGGAGGTGCTGGGGGAGGTCGTGCTGCTCGCGAAGCCACCTTGGGACTCTGTAACCAGAGCAGATGGTGACCCGGACAGGAAGGGAGGGCCCTGGCAGTGCCGAGACACACATGTATCCAGTAAATATTTGCTGAGTGGAAATTAGTCATGGTTGCCATGTGCAGCTTAGCTGAAAGATGTGTGTCCTGTTCAAGAACAGATGTGACACCCCAGCGTCCTCACAGGAGGGCTGGGACAAGGGAGAGACAGCAAGACAGCCACCCTCAGGTGCCGACCCTGCAGGGGCACCGGCCTGAAAGTGGGGCCTTCCTGCCTCCCCTGTTCACAGGGCCTGGGGC